TTATGAGTGTTTCATATCTGTGGAAACAGATCAGATTCTGGCAGATCAGATTCTTGATTACCTGCTATAGTTGTTAAAAGCAAAAGCAAGGAAACAAACATCTTCTTGGAATTTTAAAAATTTCTCAGTGCCTTAGCAGTTTTTATCTTGCAACACCTGAAATCATAAAGAGCTTGCAGAGTGCAGTTACTGAGCTGCATATGCTGAACACATGCTGTTACTCAGAAACAAGAAGCTAAAACCCAGAGAAACTTCAACATTTCCAAGATGACTTGAAATAAAAAAAAAAAAAAACCCCTCCAACACAAAAACTAAAGGAGTATGATACACTGATAAATCATGTATTTGTGCTGCATTTACACAGAGAACGAATTTTTTCTCTCGCAGGAACTTTTTATTGGAAAATGGCATTAGCTGGTCATCTTCATCCACATATCCATCTTCATCCACCCCATTAACCTGTGGTTGTCCTCGCAGAACCTAGATCCAGATGGGGACTTTCCTGGCTGCGCCATTTCAGATTTGGCTACCAGAAAGGGCACAGTGTGGGCGGCTTTTACCTCGAGTCCCTCTCACAAAGCTGAAATGTGAATCGTCCCCAAGGAGAAATAGGAGGGCCCTGGGATTCTGTCAAAATTGTACATTGTGCTCATAATATCTGAGCTCTTGCTCTGTGCCTCTGCTCCCCTAGCTATAACACAGAAGCTTTTTTAAAAAATAAGGTCAAGTGGCTAGTGATGCAGAAGAGCAGACATTAATTACTCATTTCAGTAGAGATATCATATGCTACCATTTCTGAGAGTTCAAAGGAGGATCAGAAATAAATTAAGACAGAAGCCTGAGCGTGGCCTGTGAGCTGAGGACATGAGGGATATGTTTTTTTTTGGAAAGAGAACAGCAGCATTGGTCAGTCATGCCAGTGCTCCATCGAAGAGTTGGCAGAGGACTTGCATTTTGCTGGTCTGGAACAGACAAAGGGCTTTTCCACTTTTGAGCCTCATTTCTGTGAGAAGTGTCTTTGACTCAATGACTGTCCCACAAGATCGGATTTTGTTGATTTTTCTGATGGATGTTGCTGCTGAATGATTGTGAAAAAGAAAATCATCCTGGTAGCATCTAACTTGGTGTCTCCTCATTGAAAAATCTATCAATCTGCTCCATTAGGAGTGATTTCTCCATGACTGCCAGTGGTACCTGCATGCAACATTGCTGTGTTACAGTAAGATGACTGCAGATAACGACCAGTACTACATCTCCTTTGAATGGTCTTATCAGTTATGCAAATGCTAGAAATCTCACCGCAGTTATACTGACTATTTATTTCCAGTCTCCTACTTAAAAGCTTCTTTCATGCCTACAGTAGTGAAGTCCTTTTGAGCTCTGTAGGCATTGCCTTAAGCACCATTTTAATGATAATTTTGATTGACATTGCTAAAATGCTCTTGATTTCTAACTGTAAATCAAGTCAAATGGAGATATATGCAGAAGAGATGGGAGTTGATGAGGCTGGTCTCTGGCTGTGTTGAGAGAGATGTTGGCTAAAACTGGAAACCATTAAGAGCTCCTGGAGGAAAATGTGTGAGTGTAGATCCCTGCTGGCAGTCTAAGACTGGAAGCGTCCTGGTAACAGAGGAGCACTGTAGTGCCTGTTGAATTGCACTGTCCTTCAGACCAGGTGTGTGGAGCTGGTGCTGGGGCAGTGGCAAGCAGTGTAATAGTGTAGGAAGGAGAATAGCAATTCCTTACTTTTTTTCCAGGACTGGCGCTCAGACTGAGAGGAGCAGATTGAGAGGAGGCTGCTGAGCATGCTGGTGCTTCTGCACAATCAAAAGGGATGAAGCTGCCTTCCAGAGTAAAAGATAAGCGTGTAATTCAGCTTTATGTTTAGGAAGTGACTGTGGTGGCCCAAGCACTGTATGAAACAAGCCAACTAACTTGTTTTTACCTATTCATCATTATTTATATTTAATATAATTAAGCTGATTATTTTTTCCCCTTGTCTACCTTTCTATGGCAGCTTAGCTCAACTGAAGAGAGGATAGAGGCTGGCCTTCCAAGGAACCCTGATGTAGAAGTGTGGGTTTACAAATGAGTCAAGTGAGCTTTGCTTCACTCACGTATCTATCCATTCTCTTTCATGGTTCAGTAGGTCTGCTCATACCATCAGTCATTGCTTGGAAACTCTTGTTCAGCTAAAATAACACCTTTGGTCAACTGACGTTTTGAAAATCCCTGTTTTATATTTGTTTATGTTAATACTATTATCTCGTCCTTTCTCTTCAGCAGATTTCAAAGCTGTCTCTCAAAAGAGGAGTAACATTATCCGCTGTAGGTCGGTGCATGGGGGAAGAAGGTTTGCTCCAGGTGACAGAGAGGACAAAACCACCCACGTTTGTGAGTTCCAGTCCCAGGACCTGGATTCCTGAGCCCATCGCTTAAAGGTGAGCTCCCCCTTGCACCCAATTCAGCAAACTCGCTCAGAGCACAACTTTGAGCTCGGTTGCTCATCCAGCACACGCATTGAGTAGCTGGGAGGACTGGAAGAGGTTATTTGGGCAGAGAAACAAGGACAATGTTCACCCTGGGGAGCTCTGGCTTCACCAGGCACCCTCTGCACCAAAGGCACATGTGCACAGGCTGTGGGGCACAAAGCCGAGCAGCGTTGTGAAGCACCTTTGAGTTTTGTGTGGAAAAGGGGCTTTACGCTAGCTCCGTTTATGGCAATGCTGCACGGCTTCTGGGTGCGGCCCGTTAATTCCACACATGAGCAGATTCGGCATCCTCCCCCACCACAGGGTGTGTGCCCAGAGCTGGACCAGCCTGCAAGCTGCTGGCCGTCTCGGTGCCATTCCTCTACACCACTCTTAGCCCTGGACCTCACTTATCTCATGGTTGTCAAGAGCCTACGGCTTGCTTTTTGCTTGCTGACCATCATTTTTTGCCAGGCCAGCACAGGCAGCCCTTCCCCTGGTCTGGAAAGCAAGGTTTCTCAAAAGGACCCGTTTATTCTCACTGACTAGAAGGATCACCAAGAAAAAAATATAACTATGGTGCACTGTCTGGCTTCCAGGTTAGTCTGTGCACTTGACCGATGAATAGCTCAGAAGTTGACAGTGCCTGCGCCATCAGAATCACATCTGTGAGGACAATGTGCCGTGCCAGCTTGGGACTGACATGTCGGTGGGTTCACTGACATCCATGAGCCTTTGAAGCACCTGACACTTGCCATTTATCTTCCTCTTCCTTTTCAAACTAAGTAATGGATGGCTTAACCCACCCCTTGCAGCAGTTTTTTCCAACTGATATTACTCAGTGGCTTGTAAAGTTTTGAGTAGCAAGAATTTTTAGTCTTTTTATTGGGAAGGAAGACACTTTCTTACCACAAGTGATCTCTTCCACAGCTATCCTCATTATCTGCATTAATGCAGATCCTTGCTTGTCAGCCTCAACGAGCTGCTAATGGTAACGCATTCCCAAAATTAATTACGATGGAGATGTGTGTGCATGAGTATTTAAGTGTGCTGCTTTTTATTTTGAGGCTTATATTACGAGAGAGGTCACACAGAGGTGAACTTCCACTTGACGTTTCTTGTTTAGAGTGATGAGAACAATGGCACTACAATATTTTTCACATTTCTTCTCCAGCCCTTTCCTGACGCATTTTAATGTCTTGTCTGCTTCATGCCTGAGAGTTGAGCAGGCACTTTGTTATTGACAGCTTAAGGAAAATAGAAGT